GCCTTTATCGAAGAAAAACTGTAAAATATGGCGTATTTTCTCTTTGTTGGTGTCCATCTTTGACACGCGCTCAAACAATACTGACTCAAGCAATCACAAAACTGTCTCAGAAGTTTTTTTAGTACGAAATCTTATCTTTCTAATGTGCCATTTGGCGTAACCCGATCGCACTTATGCAACGCGAGATACAGATTACTAAAGCCATCTATTGGAAAAATAATATATTTCTTTTTACTACACCTTATATATAAAACATGAAAAATTAAAAATGTTTTAAGGTCGACATAGTTCTACAGCCGTCAAGTTTAGTAATTAGAGGTTTCTCTCTGTTACCAGTAATACTAACAGTTGATAAATTACACATATATTATTGACTGATTATAAATGTTTTGCTAAATTTTGTGGAAGTTTAAATACTAAAAAATTAACAAATTATTAGAAAAATAAAATTAGAAAACTATATATAAAAGTAATAAAAAGTAAAAAATATATAATTTTAAGAATTTTAATTTTTTATTAATTGTACCTACACCCCTGATACCGGATAGCTGAGACAGCTGAGTGTTGAGATAGCACGATAGCAGATGCAAGAGAATTTGAGGTTAAGTTATTGTTAGACCTTATAATTGTTAAGATATTTGTTAGATCACGCGCGTACTATAGCTAATTGGCCAATAAATTATTTAAAAAACGCAAGTTTTGTGTTGTTTATAATTTTATTAAAATTTCTATCAAACAGAGTTTATCTAATAATAATGAAATATACATTGTTCAATCACCCCTTTCTACACGTAAATTTTTGTTATCAAACATTACGTTATTGCACGTCTACTGCAACTGCAACTGAATTATGCAACTATAAAAGATTAGCAGGTATTTTTGCGTTATCTTATTCTTCTTTTTCACATATGTTACAATCTGCAGCAAGTGAATTAACTAAAAATTATTAATTGAAAATTAATAAGAACAAAAGAAATATAAAATGTGCTTCTTACTGTACTATTCTAAACGCTACTGTATTATTCTTTACGTTATAGATTTTCCTGCAATTTTTAAACCAAAAGATGTGGAAAATGGCTGGTATGATACTTGGCAACGTAATAAATACTTTGCATCATCCAGGACAACGAATAGTACTCAAGAGGAAAAAGAAACCAAAGAACCTTTTAGTATGGTCTTACCACCGCCTAATATTACAGGAATTTTACATCTAGGTCATGCACTTACTGTTATAATCCAAGATGTTTTAGCAAGATGGTTAGCAAAAGTATATTAAGTAGTGATATAATACAATATTATAATAGTGCATATATGTATGTATATATAGTAGTATATGTAGATATATAACAACATGAGATGCATATATATAATTCGCCTATAATAGTTTAGAGTCTAGAGTATCTATTATATAATAATATAATATATACTTTATAATTAGAATTTTTATTACCAAATTTATTTACTATATGTATATCATATAGTATGTTTACTATATGGAATAGAAATATAGTAAAAATAGAAAAGAATATAATAAAAATTTATATACAATACATATGTATTTGACACACTATTATTAACATCAAATGTAGTTTTTATTGCGTTATATTTATTTATTATAGATAAATTTACCGTTATATTATAGATTTTTCTCTCTACTGCTCACGCACATGCATACAGGCACAGAATGAAGGGACATCCAGTATTGTGGATACCAGGTCTGGACCATGCGGGAATTGCAACACAGGCCATAGTGGAACGTACATTACAACATACACGCAACATTACACGATATGACATGGGCCGTGACGAGTTTACACAATTGATCTGGCAGTGGAAGGCAGAGAAGGCTGCAGTTATCAAACAGCAATTGAAAACCCTTGGCGCTACGCTTGATTGGGACAGAGAATACTTTACCATTGATAAAGTAATATTTTTTATTTGCTATTTATATATTAATATCTATTGTTACTATTATATTTGTTCTATACTTGTTATAATATTATTGAATTTTCATTTGTGCTCTTTAGAGTCACAGTGCAGCAGTGACAGAAACGTTTGTACGGCTATATGAGAGAAATCTATTGTACAGAGCCAGAGACCTTGTTAATTGGTCACCAGCGCTACGCAGCACAATCTCAGATATCGAAGTCGAGGATTTTGTCGTGAATGGCAAGACACGACTTCAATTACCTGGCTACAATAGCAAGATCACTGTCGGCCAGTTGATCAAGTTGGTCTATCCAATCAAAGATTCAAGTAAATATAAAATATATTTATATATGCGCGCGCGCGCGTGTGTGTGTGTGTGTGTAAAGAGACAAAAATAATCAAGGTTTTCTAAAAAAAAATCTACTTTTTCCAGTTGTAGCTTTTTAATAGACGTAAATTTTATTTCTTTCATTTTACAGAGGAAGAACTGATAATTGCAACGACTAGGCCTGAAACAATTTTTGGAGATGTAGCAATTGCCGTGCATCCAAACGATGACAGATATTCGCGATATATTGGTCAATATGTTTTACATCCAATAAGAGAGACCTTTATACCCATCATAGCTGATTCTTCAGTCAAGAGAGAGTTTGGCACTGGTAAAAATTTATAAAAATTAGATTGACAAATTAGAATAAATTTATATATACATTAAATACAGAAATAAAAAGAAAGTAGATTTTCAGAAATTATTTAAAAAATTTTATCTATATTATAATTAATACTATATTTACATATATTTATTTTTTACTTGATTATTCATTGGCTTACTATTTATTTTATTTATTTGATTGATGAGTGGTATTTGTTTTATAGGTGCAGTGAAAATTACACCGGCACACGATCGCTTAGATTATAACATCGCCAAAAGACATAACTTGCCAGTTATTTGCGTTATTGATGAAGGTGGGAACATGACAGATGCATGCAAGGAATTCAAGGTGTGATTCCGTATACAATATTTATTAATTTTTTATTATAATTTAATAATAAATCATTGTAGGGAGTGCCGAGATTCATCACACGGAAAAGACTAATGGACCAACTGTCCGTACGAGGTTTGGTGAAAGGTGTGGAAGATAATCATCGGATGACACTGCCACTATGTTCGCGCACACATGATGTGATCGAATATTTGCCAAAAGAACAGTGGTTCTTACGCTGTACGGCAATGGCCAAGCGGGCGCATAAAGCCGTGGCGAATGGTGAATTGAAAATTTATCCAAGTGAGGACAGCATTTACGAACAAATGTGGTACAACTGGCTCGAAAATTATAAACATAGGTAAAATTATTATTGTGTTTAATTACTAAATAAATGGATAGAGAGAGAGAGAGAGAGAGAGAGAGAGAGAGAAAGAGAGAGACAGTGAAATAGATGAATAAATAAAACAGTGAACAAAAAATTAAAAAATGCAATATTTAATTATCTTTTAAATTATCTTCTATCTTTTAAAAATCGTATTTTTTTTAGAGACTGGTGTGTTTCAAGACAATTATGGTGGGGGCATCGCATTCCGGCATATTCTATAATTCATGATGATGGTAAAGATAACGATAATGATATATTCTCTGATAGTGATAACACCACTTCGTGGATAATCGCACGATCCGAAGAAGAAGCGCGTTCTCTTGCACAAGAGAAATATGGAAACACAGTGAATTTACGTCAGGATCCAGATGTTCTCGACACATGGTTTTCTTCGACAATTGTGCCATTTGCCACGCTTGGCTGGCCGGAAAACGTTAATATTCTTCTCTATATACATTTTATTATATATAACTTTATGAATATTTTTTTATATATCACCAAAATTTATAGACTGAGGATATGGCAAGACATTATCCGCTAACACTGATGGAAACGGGCCATGATATTCTCATGTTCTGGGTGACAAGAATGGTGATGCTAAGTCTGGAACTAACACAGCGTTTGCCATTTAAAGTATAATTCCATATGTACAATAAATTATTCATGTCTGCTTTTTATCAATATTTTGTCAGAATCTTGATATAATTCTTGTACATCTATATATTATATTATATTGAGTAATCTAATCCATTCACATTAGAGTATACTATTGTAAAATAATATTTAAAGAAGCAATCTCTTTTTATAGTGTGCTTAAATTGATAATTATAAATTATGCATGCGTATAGGAAGTTTTACTTCATGGTGTCTTGTGTGATGGTAATGGCAAGAAAATGTCAAAGAGCTCCGGCAATGTCATCTCGCCAGAAAACATTATCAATGGTTGTACCTTCGAAGTGAGTATTTCTTGAAATTGCATCAATTATACATATATCATAATATAGAAATACTTATAATCTCTGTAATAAAAATTAAATATCAACAAACTGAAATTACCTTTTTTTTATTGATGTGTTGTAATTATATTATTTAAAAATTGATCTTAGACACACAATTATAATGTAGGAATTGAACGAGCAAGCAAGACGTAGTCACGCGGCAGGTATTCTTAGCGCTGAAGAATTGCAGCGAACGCTGCGTGTTAATACAAAAACGTACTCCATGGGAATACCAGATTGCGGTACCGATGCCTTGAGATTGTCATTATGTGCACGCAATATTAAGAGTAAGCGCATTAAGTCTTAAGAAAGAGAGAGTCTTGTCCCTTTTCCTTATAGATATTTTCCTTTTATAGATCATACTATCAATTTTGATGTGGATGATTGTCGGACAAGCAAGTATTTTTGTAACAAGATCTGGCAGGCAAGTAAATATGTATTATTAATGACAAAGGAGGATCAACAACATGAAAATGTAGAAAAGGAAAATCTGAATGACCTAGATCGATGGATCCTCAGTCGATTATCGTGGATGGTTGAAATAGTAAATAATGCGTTTGCCGAACGAAATTTTCACAAAGCGATAACCGCAATTCGTCAATTTCTGTACTATGAATTTTGTGATTTCTATGTGGTATGTTATAAATGAGGTGTATAAATTTTATTTAATATGATAATAATTTAAGATTTTTATCAATTTTCTGGATTTTGTAAGAATGTTAAGAAAAAATTTTCAGATTTTAATTACAATATTAATTATAAAATTAATTAAATATATAAATTATACATTAATATGATTATTCTTATTAATCTTAATTTTCTTAAATTATCTAATAAAAGTAATTCTTTATTTTAATTAAGAAAATATTTTCCTTTAAATATAGGAGGGTACAAAATTTGGGTTTAGAAGTGGTAATTCCGCTGGGCATTCCAATACTCTTGCGAAATGCTTGGAAGTATCATTACGCATTCTTGCACCTGTAACACCCTACCTGTCGGACGATTTGTATGTAAGACTTGCCAAGAAAGGACTACCAGGATTTCTATCAGTCACCTCGTTGCTTGAGACTTCCTATCCTATGCCATACGAAGTATGTGAAAAAAATAGTCTCTATATTATCAATTTTTTTGCTATATAATTTTCTCTTATTTTTTTTTCTTTTGAACGCTATTATACATGTTAGATTAGATACGTTATTTTTATTTTCTATTTTCATTTCTTCTTTTATTAGTTCAAGCATCTGAGAGATATCGGGTTGGAGGAAAGGATACGTGAACTCATGGATGTAACAAATGCGATTAGAAGTTGCATGGCAAACGTGAGCAAAAAATCAAATCCAGAAGGTAGATCTTGTTGATGATAATTGGTCAAGCTGATAACACTAATTAAATAATTTAAATATATAGGATAAATTTTAATAAATATTTGTGTTTGCACAGTTAATATTCTGGTTAATAATGTGCGCGATTACAATTTTTACCGGGAAAATGTAAACCTTATCAAAGGAGCAAGCAAAATTTGGAACGTGCCTATTCATTTAATAGAATCAGCGAATGATGGCAATTTTAACAGGATGATGACAAGAGATAATAATTCCGATGGTGACGGTGTTTGTACCGTCCAATATATGCATACAAATGATTGCTCATTACTTATTACAGCTATGGTAAGTGGAAAAATGCGATCACATATGCTAATATAAATTAAATATTGCACTCACATTATTTATATTATTAATTATAATAAAGCGTTTCATATATATATCATTTTTAAGGATACATCGGTGTTGGAACAAGTTAAGAAAAATATAACAAAGAATAAATCGAAAAGTATGTGCTAAAAGAAAGGATGTTAAATATGCGTGCAACATTATAATTTCCGCTCCCTTGTGCTCTTCATCTATGGACATGATTATATTTATAGTATAAGTAAATAAATGTAAGTAATGTAACTAATACATAAAGTTGTAAATAAAATTATTCATATATACCTGATTGTAATTCTCTTGAACGCAAAAGCGTTCTTATACAAACTCGCACATATTTAATCCGACTTTGTAAATCCAGTATACAGTGTTTTCTTTCTGTTAAATTTTCTTTCTCTTTGAATGTTGAAATATGAGTTTAAATATTGAAACACTTAATAAAATAAAAATTTGTCATTAGATGAAATAATGGATTATACGATTGGTAAACAAATTTTGGAGTTTGTTTTTGAAATAAAGTAAACTATGCTGGATCACATGATGTAGACAACCAATCAGTACTCTTATTGGAAAAGATATGGCAGTGGCGACCTAACCTAACCATCATGGCTGCGTACAAACGTTTTATTTTTTGAAAGTTTCTGACTTACCACCTTTTGTAATTCAACAAATGTTCTTACAATTTACTCAATAACGTTTATTCATTCAATTTCCCCGGATTTCCTTATAGAAAGTTTGAAGGAAAAATTTATTACTGATTATATCATCTCGGAGTGCGGGGTAAATATACAGAGAAGAAAAGTTTGATGAAAATTCAACTACGAGTGTGGATTTGTGGATCCGTATTGTTAATAGACAATCATTTGAGATACGAATTGTTGAAAAATGAGTACGGAAACATCGAATAAGCATTTAGAGACTTTGGCTGGTCATGTTTTTGACAATGACAAACTGGTAATTTTATCGCAATCTTTTATATACAATATATTCTGTATTGTATATATTTTATATAAATATTTTATTTATTATCATATTATATTCTATATCATGTATAACGCAATGATGTATATTTTTAGGTCACCTACAAATGGCTAAGCAAAGAGCTGCATATCCATGTTAATATAGCAAAACAAATGTTGTGGGACTTTTATCAAAAGTATCAAAGCAACAATAACATAGAATGCACATATTTATTGATAGGTCATCTAAAGGAGAAAGGAATGCGTGTAGAAGTTGTTAAAGGATCCAATTTATCTGAGGCTAAAGAAAAATTCAATAAAATTATCTCAGAACATGTCTATAGTGTTCACAAGCCAATTGCAGATCTGGAATTACTTGCCACTTCTGGTTCAGGTGATACAGCTTACAGCGCTATAAAATGTGATGCCTGCAAAGAGCGAACTGATGAAGAAATGCAACTATTACGTTGGGGTACAACTGCTAAAAAACTTACAATGGAAAATGTGACAAATTTAAAGTCTATAAATTCGACAAATTCATCAAAGGCAGAAAAGAATCTAAAGGCAACAAAGAAAAATGGATTTAATAATTTATTTAACATGGAAAAATCAAAGAGTTCTGAAAAATTAAAATCATCTTTCCAAGAAAGTGATAAAGATTCGATGAAAAAGAAAAAAAATATTGTAGAAAAGGATAAAAATTTTGTTCAGGACGATAAAGATTTTTCCAAAGGTTCTGTAGAAAAAATTCAAAATTTAACTGAAAAAAATAAAAATTCCATGGCCAATTCTACCACTAAAAAAATATTCTCACAAAATAATTCTAAAAAGGGAAGCTTGGATAATTTTTTTGGGAAGCTGCCCTCTCCTCCAAAATCTATTGCGGAAGTAATATCATCGGGAAAGAAAAATGATAATGCCAAAAAAGAATTTATCGAAGAGAAAGTAATTAAAGAAAAGAAGAAGTCGCATGGAAAAAAACGGAATAGAAGTAAAGAAACAAATGAAGTTGCTAAGAAACGGAAGAGAATTGTTATGCAGACTGATTCTAGTGATTCAGAGATACAAAGTGATGTAGAGATGGAGGAGTCGGTTCCTGAAATGGAACCAGAAATTCCTATGAAAGCAAAGAGTCCTTCTCCACCAAAAGTAAAACATGAAAATGGTAAAAGAAAAGTGTTGAAATTAATTAATAGAACTTACAAAGAAGGCGAATATATTGTAACAAAGAAAGAACATGTTTATGTAAGTTGTTCTGAAGATGAGGAAGAAAAAGAAGAAGAGACAAAGAGAAAAGAGCAAAAAAAATCAGAAGCTAAAATGGAAAAAGTGAAAAAAAAGCAGTCCACGCTTACAAATTTCTTTAAGAAATGCTAGAATTGTTTAAAAATTATCCAAGTAAGAGTTGGATGCATATTTATTTGTTTTTAAAATAATATAATCATGTCTGTAAACAATAAACTGATGATTTTACAATATTTATTGTAAGAGATTACCTGTATATTATATTAGACTGTCCATTTTTTGCTCTGTCTATCAAATTCTCCATTAATTTTATAAACAAATTATAACTTTTTTTCTATTATTATTACTTTATTTGTTTATTTCTCTTAGAATTGTTTTTCTATCATATTATTACAAAAACGGAATGATACTTAATTTTTACAGATAAATAAATTGCTTCACCAGATGAATACTGGGAATACTGCAACTGAATAATTAATGATGAGCATATTATACTTTGTCAAAATAAAATTAAATCACATTTTGCTTAAATTAAAAGATAAATTCACGAAATCTGCAGTAAAAATTCGATCGTTTGAGAGGGATGCTGTTCCATAATGAAAGAATATCTATAAAATAAACATTCTATTATGATCTTGTTTCGCTGTATACATTGTTAGTATTAAAATCTATAATTCACGTTAAGTATATTATAGATTTTTAGTACTGAAAAAGTGTATATTGGGACACGGCCTATATTTAATATCGAAAGTATTTTAAATTTATGTACGTGATTAATATTGTAATTATTGAATATGACAATTTGTGATTATTATTTTTATGGATATCTAAAAAAGCTGTTTTGTATTCACATTTATTGTCTTGACTTTATGTACATAACATCTGAGTTTCTTACGTCAATGGATTAAAATTATATATGACAATTTATAATTATTATTTTTATGGATATCTAAAAAAGCTGTTTTGTATTCACATTTATTGTCTTGACTTTATGTACATAACATCTGAGTTTCTTACGTCAATGGATTAAAATTTATAATATATTATTTATAAAAAATTAAAATTGTTTCTACATAATTATAAGAAATTGTGAGTTATAGCAATAATTAATTAAGTGATATATGTCGCACCTATATTTCCCGCAAAATGAGTAGTATGTAATCTCGTACATATTACTCACATGTTTGACGCACTTATCAGATATGCTATCGGGATCGGCTATAGCGGGCGTATCTACTGTATATAATTAAATATATACTATTTAGTAGCCTGCGTGTAAAATCACAGTACGGATATCTCATAATGTTTAATATTATTGCACTCTCGCTTTTATTTCTATGCAACGAATGTTTGTGCGATATATGTAAAACCTGTGGATGTTTTACCTCAAGTAAGTTCAAAAGAAAAAGAATGATAAGATCTATCGCCGCGCAGGAAATAATAGAAGGAATTAGTTAAAAAATAATAAATACACGATATTTTTGTTATATCATTACTGCTAGTTGTAAAAGTTATATGCGTTATATTTTACAAAATTATTAGGTGTACAACTTTGCCTTCGCCGTTTTCCTATAGATGGCTTTAGCGGTAAGTGGTGGTCGAAATAAATAGATCATAGACGTCATACAATAAACTTGGGCATCTATCAACATAACCCCATAGAAACATTAGTCGATTTGTGTCTGCATCATAAAGTTATTCTCGATTGAAAATGTCAGTTTACGAGCCAAATTCTCGTCATTTGCGGGAGGTTTTAATTTTCTGCTTCAATATGAAGAAATCTGCGGCTGAGGCTCATCGAATGCTCTCAAATACTTACGGTGAGGCCGCTATTAGTGAAAGAACGTGTCGTGAGTGGTTTCAACGCTTCAAGAACGGTGA